CCGGCTCGGTGGGGAGGTGGTGGGTAGGTGCTTTGGCCGGCTCCGTGGGGAGGTGGTGGGTGGGTGCTTCGGCCGGCCCGGTGGGGAGTTGGTGGGTAGTTGCTTCGGCCGGCTCGGTGGGGAGGTGCTTTGGCCGTCTCGGTGGGGAGGTGGTGGGTAGGTGCTTCGGCCCGCTTGGTGGGGAGGTTGTGGGTAGGTGCTTCGGCCGGCTCAGTGGGGAGGTGGTGGGTAGGTGCTTTGACCGGCTCAGTGGGGAGGTGGTGGGTAGGTGCTTCGGCCGGCTCGGTGGGGGGGTGCTTCGGCCGGCTCGGTGGGGAGGTGGCTGGTAGGTGCTTCTGCCGGCTCGGTGGGGAGGTGCGAATGGGGCGGGGGGGGTGCTGTAACTCCTTTCCACATGTAATGTCAGACTGGTGCGAGCTCCCGAAGTTCCAGGGAGCTCTGACGCTGTGTGTGTAGCAGGAAAAACAAATGAGAAAGGAAAAAAAAAAAGAGTCGTCTCTTTCTCGGTGACGATGATAATGTTCTTCGAATCGTTGAAGATTCGTTGCTGTTTACTATTCTGTTTGTGACCATGTATGACCTTGCTGTTTGTGACCATTGCTGTTTACTATTCTGCTTTCCACAAACACTTAGAAAGACAGAAGACGCCAAGAGCTAAAACAGTGATACAGAAAGCACCAGCCGTACACTAACAAAGAAAACATAGAGTCAGAGACAGAAAGAGCGAAGTGAGATTCTTCATTGGGGTTGCTTCTTGACGGTGTTCGCGGGCGCAAGCTGCGCTGGCTGCACCTGCTTGTTATTTTAAAAAAGAAAGAAAGAAAAAAAAAGATGAAGTTTGCGAGCAGTTAGATGTTCTCTTATTTGCATTTGCCATTTGCGCATCCTTTCTTTCATTTCCCTCTCCACTTCCTCCCTCCCTCCCCCACCCCCCAGATTTTTCAATTTTTTGAGTTGAAATATGAGTAGAAATGTAGAATGTATTTAAATTTTAAACGTTCAAACTTCAAACGGATTACTGGGACAAAATTCCTTGGACTTCAGTCGAGACCCGGACTCGAGAGTTTTGTCTTCAGATTCCAGACCTGGATTGAAAAATTGAAAAATCTGGAAGAAAAAGGGGAGAGCCCGGAGAGGGGAAATGAAAGGAAAGATATGCAAATGCAAATAAGAGAACATGTAACTGCTCGTGTGAACTTCATCTTTTTGTTTTTTCCTAGAATTTTCTTTTGAATATTTGTTGGTCATTCCTTCTCTTCTTTACAGGTGCCTTGACGGAAAGAATGAGGGACCATTTTCGGATGATCAGGTCAGTTTTTTTGACTTTTTGTTTTTGTTTTGTTTCCCTCAAGAATTTTTGTACCCCATACCATGTTCTCTGGTCACCTGAGAATGAAGACATGGGCATCACAAAGATGGACGCTCCTCTCTCTCTCCCCCCTCCCCCCCCCCCCCCCCCCCCCCCCCTCCCCCCCCCCACAACCACCGCCCACCGGCCCAAGATCAGCCTCCCAAACGCTCCTTCAGCATAACATTACATCTGGTCCCAATACTTTACGAAAAATTTGCTATAGGTAGTATAGGACCAATATAGGTCTTGATGATTTTTGCATAGTTTTCTGAACTTAGCTCTAATTTGAAGATGGGTCAATTAGAGAGAAACATTCCACTGATTCCAGTTAGAAAGTACGCACCCTATGTATCAAATTACTGATAATGAATAATGAATAATTAATAATGAATAATGAATAATGAATAATTAATCATGATCATATTATGATATTTCCTGATGATGCATGAAAAGGGTGAACGTTTTTGAAGTTTTCATAAGGGTGCTCCGAAAAAGCAGCCCGTGGGAATGACACCCACAGCACACACTCTCTGAGCCTCCTCGCAGAGGTATGATGGACAAAACCCCAAACACCCACCCCCCCAAAAGCTCGTGGCCACCCACAAACATTACTGCATCAACAAAACAGCCCATGGTGCAAAGCAGGGCAATGATTTAGGTCATGTATAAAAATAAACCCAACAAAACACATCCAAGTGTGTGTGTGTGTGTGTGTGTGTGTGTGTGTGTGTGTGTGTGTGTGTGTGCGTGTGTGTGTGTGTGTGTGCCTGTATGTGTGTTTTGACTATAAGAAGCTGAAGCAGCACGAGCTCCATCTTGCTAGAGGGTCCGTGACGTTCTTGTAGACAGCCAAGTTGCCACAGGCTGGGCTCTATCTCAGAAAGCAGGCTGAGATCCATTTATTCCAGAAAGCATGCTGAACTCCATCCATCTCCCAATACAGGCTGAACTCTGTCCATCCTTGATATCAAGCTGAACTATGTCCGTCTCAGGAAGAAGGTTGACCTCTCTGTCTTTCTCAGAATCTAGGCTTTACTCGTCCGTCTAAGGAAACAGGCTGAACTCCGTCTGCCTCAGAAATCAGGCTGAAGTCTGCTCGTCACAGAAAGCAGGCTTAACTCCATCTGTCTCAGAGAGCAGGCTGGTGGGGCTCCATCTATCTCAGAAAGCAGGCTGAACCCCGCCCGTCCCAGAGAGCGAGTGAAAAGAAACAAAAATTTCAAAAAAACGAATCTTTTTTTTTTTTTGCAGGCTGGTAGTGCAACAAAAAACGCTAAGAATGAAAAAATAATGACCGATGTGGACATACATGTTCGTTCGTAGTACTTCGTACTACTCTTACTACATGTAATTTCAGTTTGAAATTTCAACGGTCAATTCGATTCAATTGATAATCAATATTAATCATTAATTAATAATTATTAGTTAATCACGCTGAACTCTGTTGGCATCAGAAAGCAGGCTGTACCACTCGGCCTCGTTTTTTTTTTGTTTTTGTTTTCTTTTTTGAACTCCACCCACCTTTTTTTTTTTTTTCAACAACTCCACCCGCCATAGAAAGCAGTTCTGCAGATCATCAACCATTAACTCGGATTGACGCTATTTCAAATCAGGCAAAGGACGTGAAGTTTAGTTTTCCGAAAGCAAACAAAATAAAGCTTTTAATTTTAAGTTGCACAATGAGGCGGCCAGCAGCCAAGCGGGCAACCCGGCTACACTGCTCCTTAGAGAACCAGGCCACACTCCCGTCTCAGAAATCAGGCCGAATTCTGTCTCAGAGAGCAGACTGAAACGGTATTCACCAGTTCGCAGTAGCAGATGCAGATGCCAGGGCTCGATCCCTAGTCCCCACCTTACCTGTGTACAGTATCTGCGTCGACCCCTAGAGTTGAACCCATGACCTGTGTATTTGTAACAGTTGGTAGGTTGTCGTAGGGTCCATAGGTAGTAGGGGTTCGATCTGTAGATCTGTCGAGTAGGAGTCTCAGTCAGGTCTAGAAGTCGTAGCTGTAGCCTTCTCGAAGGGTCAAGGTCATAGCTGCTACAGTCCCGAAAGGTCAAGGTCGTAGCTGCTACAGTATCGAAAGGCCAAGTCTACGGCCTTCCGGAAGGTCCGAGTAGTGGCCTTTCGAAGTTGCCCACGTTCAGGCTGAGGCAAGTGGGCAAGTGGTGGAGTCTACCCGTGCTGAGTCAGCAGTCCCAGTCCTAGACAGTCCTGGTCCAGTCAAGCAAGTACCGCATGGGACTGAGTGCACTACGGGCATGGGAAAGGGGCCAGACCAACGAGCTGCAGAAGTATAAATCAAGAGGCAGCGCCCAGCCATTCATTCATTCTTGCTTGAGCCATGTGGAAGCGCTGCCACAAGCGACTTGTGCGAGGTGGTCTGCAGTGAGCCCGAGGACGAAGTGGGCGTGGGCGAGAGAGGAGTGTAGCCATAGCGATAGGGTAGTAGCGGCCATAGCCGCCATAGCTGTAGTTAGAGTTCAGTGTGTGTGTGTGTATGTGTTCAGAGTATCGCGTGTGGGATATCCAGGGTGATCCGGTGTATGCGAACAGAGAGTTGTGTGGGCGGTGAGCCGCCATCGCCATCAAAGTGAACTTGAATCTGAACTGTGTTCTCGGTTACCATATCTCTGAGTTCTGAGTGGGCGCTTGTCGCCAGTTTGCTGCACACCTGTTTGCATGCATGAGAAGTGTGAATGAAAGCGAGTCTGATTGCAAGACTGAACTTCACCTTAGAAAGCCAAGCGGTTCCATTGGGTGACGGAAGTGGCATGGTGTGTCTGTTGTCGTGCATCATCACTTGCCGGAGGAAAAGAAACTGGTCCTTGGAGCGATCCGTTAAAAACTTTAAATTGGATCGAAACAGAGAGAGAAGATTAGGATGGCCCCTGCACAAGGATGACACGCATAAGTTGAGAAATGGTCCAAATTAAGGGGGGTGCAAGGAATATGAGTGTGAACGATATACAGAAAACCAAGTTGCGAAATCACACAGATGTCCAGGTAGTCGTGTCAAAGCAGAGAGTACAAAATGCGTCAAGATACCATCCATATAGACTCATTTATAGAGCAATACAATGAAGTAATGAGCCAATGTTCAAGCCTGTAGGCCACACCAACACAGTATCCAAAGTCGCCCCTCTCTGTCTGGCGCCCAGCGCCCAGCCTACTCTTCCCGACTATCCTACCTACAGCTGGTTCACGCAACAGGCTCACTTCGACTCTCGAAGACCAATGCACACGACTGTCAACACCATAGCCGACCTCTCTTCTTGTACCAGGTACGTATCTCGTCACCCTCAATCAGACCTTGATTACCCCACACTGCGCTTCCTTCCCTGAAGACCACGTGATCGCCCCGCTGTGCCCCCCTGGCGCCCAGCAGCCCGGCCATGGCTGCCTGCGCCCCGCTGCCCTGCAGCGCCCCACCTCACCACTACGGGGCCCGTCAGCGCTCTTGGCAGCAGCGCAGCATCAAGCGATAGCGCAGCAGCACTTCCGCATTGCCAGCACTGGCCAGCATGCCTGGCCTGGGCTGCCTCACTCCTTTTATGGAAGTGGCAGCCTCCTGGATGCTGCCAGCCAGCTTCCAGTAGCTTCTGGTTGGGCCTCAGACCCTGCGCCCAGGCCTGAGACTACAGTTGAGGGCCTGGGTCCTTTTCAGTTGGGCGCGGCCTGAGTCTCTGGACTTGGATTGTTTGCTGCATCTGTGCAGGGCTCCCAGGCAGGTGCGTCGGCAGTACTGCTTTTCCAAAGGCCGATGGCCTGCTTCCCAATGTATCGGCCCTGCTTTGTGTGCATGTGCCCAGGCACAACTGTCTAGGCCTGGGCCAACTGTATGATGCAGCTTAGTGAAGCGCACGCGTCTACCCAACCAACTGGGGTGCTACAAGAGCCTGACTACCCATGCATGAAAAATGTCGAATTTTGGCCTCTGACAAATATTCAGGCCCTCCTTCACTTAGGGCAGGCACTCGGCTTGCTGGGGGCCTTAGCCCAGAACATGTGATGTCTGATAGGGCCCCTTGAGGGCTTGTTCCTCACAGGGAAAAAAAAAAAAAAAGGAACTGGTGTTACAATCGCCAGAATGGATATGGAGCCAGGACCATACAGACCTTCTTCGGGAAAAAAGAAGACGAAAAAAAAAAAAGAGCACGCTGAACTCCACTTTCAAGAGCTGCTCTTTGCGGGTAGACGTATGTTGCAACAACCATCAAAAGAAAAAAGCAGCAATCAATGGCCAGACAACAGGCTCCCAGTGCTTAAGACGTTTGCGAATGGAGAGAGGGACGATTCAGAGCGTGTCCTGTGAGATCTTTTTTTTTTTTTTTTGAATTCAAACTTCGAAGGAGAAATGCCACACTGTCAGCTCACCAAAATTTGGAGTCTTGGACCATGCCAACGGGCCTAGCTCAGTTGGTACACCCATGAGCTGTTGAAAGTTGAAACTTGAAATACATACCTGAGTTCAAATCCATATGCAACCAGATGAGCGGAACAAAGCGTTCTGGATACATGTGGTTGGTCTGTTCAATGATATCTCAAGGCCGACGCCTTCAGAAAAAAAAAGCAAAAAAAGAAATTTAAGAAAAAACTTCAAAAAAAAAAAATGCGGCGAGTTTTTGCGTGTCATCCTTGCACAGGAGCCTTGGTAATTAAGCTTCCCTGTATCGTACCAATTTTAACGGATGTCCCAAAGGTCCTTCCCTCCTGGTGGAGGGGAACTAGAGGGGGCCCATTGGACTGTTGGCAGTCCGCCTGTTTTTGTTTTCATTTTAGTGCTAGATACGTGCTTCGCACATGTCCACAGATTGTCTGGTGTTCACATTTCCTAAAGAATTGTATGCACTGCTGTGCTGGATGAAAAAGGTATTTCTTAAAAAAGTTTAAAAAACTGTCTGAACTGCTGGGCTGGACGAAAAAGAAAGGTTGCTGTATTAGCCTATTAGGACTGGTTAGTACTGATTAGTACTGAATCTACTGATTACCTCAATTTGCAGCGTATTATTATCGGCGATTCGGTGTGCAAAAAAGTAGTATGATTTTTTTTTCAGCCTTCAACTTTCGATTCTTTCGAACTGATTTCCCCCCCCCCCCCCCCCCCCCCCTTGTTGCTGGTTGCAGTGTAAGTGCCAGTGGCAGAAAGTGTCTTCAAACTCTCGATTTCTCGAAGCTGGACCTCAAAATCACACCAGAGATGGAAAAGGAGGAGATGGAGGCAAAGTGGCCTGAACTAAAAGTTGCAGTTCAGTCCGTCTCTGTTCCCGGCGACAAAACCCTTGGGCTATCCTCTGATGCAATGCTATCGCAAAGCGCGCTAGCCTTGGGGCCTCAACAAAATCAGCTTTCAGCAAGAACAACAACAACAGGTGCTGTCCATATGCATCCAGTGTCAGCTGGTGGGAGGATAGAAGGAAAGCACGGCGGGGATGTCGGGATCGAGCTGCCAGCACATGTTGAAGCAGTTGTTGATAGAATCGCTGAGGGAATGAGGAGTAGAGGATTCACAGAGGTGGGTGTGTTTTCTAACTTTTCTTCTTCACCTTTCTTTTTGTGACCACACTTCTTTTGGGGTCCCTTGGTTCCTTGTTGGTTTCTTGGTTCCTTTGCTCGCTGGTTGAAGTCGTTGGTGCTTTCTTCAAGTCCTTGGTTCCTTGGTTCGTTGCCTTGGTTCCTTGATTCAATTCCTTGGTTCGCTTCCTTTGTTCTCTTAATTCCTTGGTTCTCTTGGTTCTCTTGGTTTGAGTCCGTGCTTCCTTGGTTCGAGCCCATGGTTCCTTGGTTCAAATTTCAAACCCTCAGTTCCTTGGTTCAGGTCCTTGGTTCCTTGTTTCCTTTGTTTGTTGGTTCCTTATTCGTTCCCTGCTGGTTCCTAAGGTACGTAGTTTCTTTTTTTCTTTTTTCTTTTTCTTTCTTTCTTTTTTTTTT